TACACTGATGTTTAAATGAAATCTTCATTTATTTACCATATATCAGTTAAAGTATCTCGTTTCGTTAAATCATGCTAAAATCAATCAACTAAATTAATTTATCGATCAAATTCAGTGATTTAAGAAGCATCACAGTTAGCGTTACTATATAAACATTAACTAATTTTCGTAAAGCGTCGCGTTATATCGAAAAATAACATTCATGGTAATAATAATTGAGTATTAGTGTATTATGTGTTGGACGGCTGGATAAATACGAAGGAAAAAGAATGTTCTCGTTTAGAGTCGTAATCCAAGAGCAGATTATTAGAAAATATTTTAGAAAATGCGAAGAGAGTGTACGCTACGTATTTTGCAACTACAACGGAATCAGTAATAAACTTACCGTTTTTGCAACACCCGTATATTTAGTAAATAATTATACTTAAACTTTTAATAACAATATACATGTTAGGTAATTATTATGCAAATCTACATATACGTAATAAATACGTATATATAGTTTAGGTAATATAAACGATCTCTTATATTTCTTACGTCTACTTATTTTTCGGATTACATATTGTAATTATAGATTTTAACTTCAATTACAATGAGAAATTATAATTTTAAAAATCTTATTTCCCATTCACGACGAAGGATTTTAAAAAATCGAATTTTATAATTCTAGTGTTTAAAGCAAAATCTTTACGTTAAAGTTAGGACTTAAACATTTATTGAATAATTAATTTCTCTCTCTTTCTCTCTTTAAAAATATATGTATCAACGTGCTGTTTAACGTTTTACGATTGAAAATTTGAGATAAATGTATAAAGGAAAATGTCTCCCAAAAATAATACTACGCTTGGGATCAATTGTAAAAACAAGAAATTTAATATTATTTTTTAAGGAATTGAATCGAATACTTAACGTTGGTGATAATAGAAGAATGCTTTATTCAAATATTTGCTCAAAATTATCTCTAGCAAGCAAGCTGAAACAATAAATATAAAAATTATATTTATCGAAATGAAAACAACATTTTTTGATTTTGAATATTTTATCAAAATATTTATAAAGTACATGGCGAGATGTACTAAATGACAATCGTCTGATTTACTTTCATAAATTAACTAATACTTGCTCGTACCTTATGTCGATAACATTTTTCTATACTATCGTGTATGGAAATAAAATGTTCTTGATTCAACCTACTTGTCATTTTCATTCTAATGGTGTTCGTTGTTTCCAATAGTACTTACCGTCCGCTGTAAAATTTTTGAAAACTGTTGGCCAGATTAGTTAATTCTATCTTTCAGTTAAACAAGTGTCAGAAGCCACGTGTGTAGTGAAATTTATTTTAATCCTTGTTCATGCATTTCAATAATATTATCGGGTAAAAGCAAAGCAATGTCTCATTGCTTTCAATGTAGATGTTTCAACATTTGCTTTAAAATCGTAGTAACCATTGTTTGTAAAAACGATCGCTTATGTTAAATAAGAATACGAGATTTTCTTTTAAATAAGGGATTATAAATGAGCTACGCTAGAGCAGACTATAAGAAAACTTAACAAATATTAATTGATATATCGTTTCACGGTGTGTCACGTGATTATCTAACTATGATAAACCACAGTATTTATTTATATCGAAAGTCAAACATACATGTCCATTCGCTTAGACGTTGTCAAGCTTCAATAACAAAAATGTTATCTTTCAACTCCCCTCTCGAGCATGCATGCGCTTTTTTTTACGAAACGGCCTAACCGAATAGTCGTACGGCTCTATGAGAAACAATACGCTTCAAAGTAAAAGTATTATACACGAATGGCGAGAGAAATGAATCGACTCGATAGGTAGACTGGCTCCCTTTTTCCAAGCAGCTTGCGACGAATTGCTTCCTAAGTATAAAAAGAACGTCGTCTCGGTCTTCGTCATTCAATGCGTCAATGGCAACGCGTAACGGACCACGCGAGTTGAAATACCTCGACGAAGCCAACCCGAGTTTCGGGCACGGGTGAGGCTTCCTCATCCCGCTTTTCATTATTTCTTTGGATGACTTGTGCCAGAAAGGTCGCGACGATAGGGTTGCGCCTCCTTCGTAAACTCGCTCAATTCGCTTGACTTCGGCCATTCTTGCAATCGCATCGAGTATACATGTCTCTACTAACGTTTCATGCGTTTGATCCACGAGTTGGTATCCTTTAGCGTAAGTGTGAAATAATTTGTGAAAAGGATTGGACTCGCTCGAGCCCGTTTGATTAACGTTGAAAGTTTTTTTTATTCATTTATCCAATGCCAATGATCAATGATAAATTATAGAATTGGAAATATTAGACAACACGAAGCTTGAATAATTTTTCGCTCATCTTTATATTAAGAAAATGTGACGAGATGTAATTAAAAGATACTTTTCAAAATTTTATAGCAATACTTTACTGCTCTACAATTTTATTAAGATCTCTAGGACTTGGCATCCGAAGCAATGTCTTTGTGAATAATTCGGCACATTATGTTTAAACATAAAATTGCAGAGAATAATACGTTAATACCTTTACAGAATATATATATATATGTGTGTGTGTGTGTGTGTGTGTGTGTGTGTGTGTGTGTATGTGCTAATTATAGTTTAAAAATAATTAAATAATCAAATACTTATAAAAGTTTTAACTTTTCTATAATAATTGATAGAAGTTGTTTATGTTTAAGATAATTGTCACCGTACAAGAATATATATATATACATTAAAATATTTTAATCAACACAATATTGCACATGTGTTTATACTTTTCAGTATTAACATGAAAAAAAAGTACAACATTGATAATACGGCAAAAACATATTTTTAAAAAATTAAAAGAAAAATCATTAAATATACTCTCATAGTACTTTAGAAGAGTTAATGTTAAATGGATAGTTTGAAATTTTATTGCTATTGAATCAATATTTACCAATATATTTTCAATTTTATCGTCAGAAATCCACGGGAATCAATTATTTATTTTATTTCCAACCGTCTATAATTATACAAAATGTCGTTATATTTAAGTTATATTTAATATTATCAGTTTTAATCGCATCATAAAAATAATCTATGATATTTAATAAGTTTTATGTTTGTTGAAACGGCCTGCAATATAAATGATTGTAAATAATTCTAAATCTTTTGCCTATATTCAGTTAGCTTTTTCCAAATAAAAATATTTATATAAATCAAATGTTTAATTTTCATTAATTAATAAATAATATGATCGTGTTTTTAAAAGAATCCGTAAATATTTATCTGTGGTATATATATATATATATATATATATATATATATATATATAGGGCATTTAGATTAGATCGAAATGAACAAGGATAGATGATATTAAACTGGTCTTGAAGTAGAGTATGACCAAGTAACTGCAATGGATCTAGAGTAAATTAGAAAATAGTAACGTGTTTTTATATTCATTAGGTGATGAACTTTCGAAATTGCAAGACTAGTTAAATAAAAATTAAAACAATATTTAAACTACAAAATGGGCATGAGAAATCTTGGACTCTGGAAGAATCGCAGATAAAAGCTCGTCGTAATGGATAATGATCCTTTTTTATCTCCTCAATTGCAAGATTATTTTCATATTTTTTAAAAATACAATTAAAAAATATACGCTTCGTTTGTTTCAAACTTGAATATACTATAAATTTAACAAATAAAAGCTAAGCTAAACTTACTTATAATAAGATTAATGTGTGTATTTTTAAACTTTAATGTCAAATAATCTTGAATTTTTTTAAGAAAAGTTTCTTACCTTAACTATAAAAACTTTCTAAATAATGATATAAATAATAGTAATATCGTTTAAATGAAAGTAAAGAAAAAAATATTCGTGAGTAAGGCAAAGCTTGGAATGTTTGTATTACTTATATGGAGATTAATTTGATTTATTTTTAGATAATTCTATTGTTAGTAAATTTATAGGACAAGGTTTTCGTTTATTTGTCATGGAGAGGCTCAAAAGAGTACATAAAATGATTAGAAAATGAATAATTGTAGTTTCTGTCGGTATATTGGGGAAAATAACGGATAAAGTCGAGAATATAATTGGAGAAAACACACCTTATACTATGTGTGACTCGATATCTACCATTTCCAGCAATGCGAAAAGATAGAAAACGATAGAAAATCCATTGAACGGCCATCGACCGAATGCCCTAATTAACCCAACAAGGTATCCGAAGAATTTAGGCAAGAATCTTGGCTTCGAGGTAAAAAGAAGTTTAAGATCGTGACTGTTACAGTTACATAGAACGAGAAGCTGTGCGTCAGCGAAAAAAAAATAAAGTAATTATTTGCCTAACCGAACATTAAGATTCTCGACAATTTATTATTTAGTTAGTATATTATTATTTTATCGTTTCCAAATTTCTATAAATTTTCTATTTTATCATCCCCTACATTGAGATATCAAAATATTATAAAATGTACATTAATTGTAACGATCGTTCAGTTTTACAATTCATAGCATATTTAATCTATGTGGAAACACATGAATAATTAAAATTTTAGAATTTCATATTCATTATTAATAAATATTTATAATACCAGAATTAATATATCCATCTATTTGTCGGACGTAAAAGTGCGCGTAACTATTTGCGAACAGTCGTCAGCCTTATTAATAATTAATCAAGGTTCTCAGGAAAATTATGAAATAAATATTAATTACTCGATAATGGACCTCTTTCATAGATTAATAAATACCAAAGGTTCTTATAATTGCTTATTTGCGTTATATATCGGGGGAGGGGGGGGGGGGAGAACCTACCCCGAGCAACAGTGACACGTGAAAATTGTGAAATTTATTTGGCAAACAGTCATCTCGACTCTCTATTTCCCATCCCTTCTATCCATCGACAATCGTCTTTTCCTCGGGTCATTCAAATCCCGGAAACATTCGTTTTCGTATTTTTTTTTTTCTTTTGCTGATATTCCATGGACAGTCGGTCATTATTTGCATCAACTGTATTGCAGGAGCAGCTGCGCAAGCGGAAGGACGAGGAGGAACGTCAAAAGTATCTCAACCGCTCGCTGCGAGGCTCGCGGAAGCTCCAAGCTCTCGAGAGCCATGCAACGAGCCTGGCTGGACAGGAGAACCTGGCCTACGCCCAGGACGAGCTGACCGGAGTAACTTCGCCAAAATCGCCCGACCTTGAAGAGCCACCACGACCGCTCAGTGAGTTTATTCATCATGTCGAGCGGCTTTTCTTTTTCTTTAGCTCGGTAATGGCGCGATGATGTTGTTGCAAATGATATAATTGACGATGTAACTGTAAACGCTCATATAATTTATTTAATAAATCGTTTGCCCTACTATTCCATTATACTTCGTGTATGGAGTGCATCGTGTTGAATGTGTGCCGAGCAGATAAGGGCTCGTTATTATTTCGTAGCCGTCCATTGCCGAGAGGCTTTAACATTGCAAAACTATTCAAGCTCGTGAATTTTAAATTGCATATATTGACTTGCCTGAGCAGAAAATTTAAATTCCTTATGTATATATAATCTTGTCAACAACATTTTGCAATATTTCGCTTAAATATGCGCGAGCAGATTTATGAAGATCTATGAAAATTCATCTTGGCGCTGAAGCTTCCGATGAAAATCCTTCCAATTTAAAATGTTCGTATTTATATGCGAAAAATGCAAATAGCATAAAGCTGCGTTAAATCCATCTCGGAAAAACTGTATTTCATTTTAATTATTCTTGAGCCAAAAAGATTTTCTACGCTTCATTGGAACTTGAAAAGCTCCTCAAACGCAACTCTTGAGCGCATGATTAGCTCAATTTTTCAAACTACCGACCAGACACACCAACCTTAACCATTGAAAATGTTAAAGTTCTCATGACGTACAGTTATCGCAGCCCTCCTAGGAAACCAAAAAAAAAAAAAAAAAAAAAAAAAAAAAAAAAAAAAGAACGAAAAAAGAAAAGAGAAAGAGTAAAGTAGCGTCCCAAGGTACTACAAACGGAGGAATAGAATTGCAAAATTATTCGTTCTTGTGCATCGGTCTTGAATAAATTAGCACTAGCTGTAACAGGGCAGGGCAACAATTATTTTTCCGTTATTATTCAAAAGAGCGACGTCGAAAAACATAATTTGAGATTGAAAGAAATTACAGCCGTTCCCTTGCCATTTCGATAAATCCATAGATTTTGCAAATTTCAAAATCTATTAGCATATTATCGCTACATACAAGTTTTAATAAAATACAATGAATAAATGCATCATAATTAAAAGAGTTTTTTTTTATTAAAAATAAAATAAAAAAACAACATCAAATTTTTCGATTCAGTATTCCAGTTTGAATAAAAAAAAAAAAAAAAAAAAAAAAAAAAAAAAAAAAAAAAATCCGTTAATTTGTCGATGTATCTAATACCGTAATGAAACAATAAATTCCCGGCAAATTTAAGCAAAATCTCGATGATAATGGCGCGTCGGATTTACCCGAATCTCTTTGGCAATTCTATCGATCGTAATAAAGTGACGGCTATCCAGTCCTGATAAATACTATAACATTAGCAAGATGGGCCTATTTTCTCTGGCGGCCCAAATAATAATCCGGTCGTTCAATCAATGCCCAAATCACGTCCGAGAGCGGCTCTCCTTACCGCGAATTGAAGGGAGCGCGACTTATTAGACGCCGGCGAAATGGGAAAACGCTGTCTAAGGCTCCTTCCCCAGGGTCATTCCCTTTCGCCCCTCGTCTCGACCGCAGCCACTAAAAAGCCCTCGGGCTTGCTCTCTTCTCTCGCAGCGTACGGCGAGGTGGTGGCGACCCTCGAGAGGCTCCAGCTGCAGTTGCGCAATATCAGCGGCGCCCTCGGGATCTCGGGCCCGGGCGTCGAGGCCGAACTCGAGGCCGTGAGGACGCTCCTCGTGCAGAAGCGCTTCGCTACCGCCCTCTCGACCCATCACGCCCTCAAGGCGCGGCTACGCTCCGGCAAGAGCCTCAAGCTTCACACGGACGACGCCTCCAGCCTCGCCAGAGATGTGAGTAAACTACGAGCTCAGATTAGCACTATGACGTATCTCCCTGATGTTCCTCCATATGACGCGAATGTCAATGCAAGCACGATCCTCGCGTCATTCCTTCGTAGCCTTGAATGCTAAAGTCCCTGATAGCGGAATATCAGACGTGCAGCGATGATTGGCACCGTCAGCCCGGCATGACCGATGAAGGAAATTTTCTCGAATTCGGGTTGATTGACGTTTGGAATTCCTTGGTCCCAAATATCCTAAATCCCTTCCCGCTCGCTTTCAATAAAAATATAAAACCACGAGTATCGATCGATCAACCCAACCAACTAACCAACCAATCAATCAACTAATCAACCAACGAACGTCGTCACTAGTGCGTGGAGGTGCTGGAGCAATGGACGCAGTCGGCAACGTCGTCGGGGTCGACGGCCTCGGGGACCTCGGGCGAGACGATAGCCGCAGCGGAGGAGCTGACGGGGCTTCTCACCAGCTACGAGATGGAGGGCCTCCTGTTGGCCCACGACTCCGCGGTCTCCTGCGTCGATGGGCTGCAGAGGAAGGGTCCGCCGAGCCCCTCGGCGAGTTCCAGGGACTCGCGACTCGCCGACAACATCAAGATCATTAGGATCGAAAAGACGAACGAGCCGCTCGGGGCGACCGTACGCAACGAGGGCGACGCCGTCATCATCGGTGAGCCCCGGCAACGCCTTACTTTTATTGCAAATTCTCCCTCTAGCGAGCGCGCGTGAGCGCGCACGCACGCACAGTCTCACCACGTATCTCTATCTATCTATCTATCTATCTATCTATCTCTCGCTCTCTCTCTCTCTCTCTCTCGCTCTCTCTCTCTCTCGCTCGTTCTCTTTGATGGCGAGACAAATCCGGGCTCCATTCACGAGCGTAAATTGTAAGGCGCTGAAGCTGACAAGAGCTCTTTTCGAATGGGCGGGAGAAATATGGCTCTTCAAAAGAAAGGGGTTTGTCAATGTTGCCAACTACTTTGTAAAGTCTGCGGAGGAAAAAGTGGCGGCAATAGCCGGCCAACCAACTTTTTTTATAAACCAAAAGTCATATAACACGTGCAGCCGGCACTTAATGTTTAAGTACTTGATATGAATTTTTCTTTTCTACTCGACCTCTTCCCTTTGAATGCAGCCTTTTTATTATTTACCGAGCGATCAATTTCGTGGACGTTGTTGTAATTTTTCTCTAGATCGTTTACTTTTACTTTGCAATGTTTATATTGCTTATTTATTATCGCGATAAATGTCCAGGGATGCCGATTCGAAAGTATAATTAATTTTGTAAATATTCTAAAAGTAAAAGCTGATTAGAAATTTATTAAGTATATATCTTGACATAACAAGCTTTTTCATGCCTTAGTTAAAGAGGTAAAATTTTTAATATGTGAAAGTTAACTTGGTTCAGATATAAAATTTTCTCTCATCTTTAACTGGTTTAGAGCACGAAAAACGTGTATCGCGGTATTCAATAAATGTCAATTCGTTATAATAAATAAAATTAATATTTTAATATTTTACCATTAGAAACTCTAATTTTTGTTCTGGTTTTTATTTTATTAAACAATTATTCGACTATTTAAAAGATTAAATTGAAAAATATATATTCACGTATCCGAGCATTCTTAATGAAACAATGTGCGTGCGTGCGTGCGTGCGTGCGTACGTGTGCATTTGTGTGTATACTATATATAATAAAATACAGAAGTAAAAATCATATTGAAACCGGTTAGAAGATTAAATCTACGCCAACTGATAATTCATTCTTTGTATGAATATTTATTTTACTTATTTATTAATACTCCTTAACTCTTGGATATTTTAAAAATTTTAAGATGTATTTTTATGGACCTTGATAATTTAATTTTATTACAAACTCGATTAATTTTTTTTTCATCTAATAGTAAAGGAATAAACATTCATTTATAAATTTCCATAATCTTTGGCTATGATTTTGGAATAACTGTTTTTTTTTTGTTTTTTTTTCTTTTCTCTTTTCTTTTCAAAACGAATACAAGATTTGTCTGTGTTGGTCCTTCTGTCCTTCTGTAAAATGTTACTGCAATAATATTATGATTTACATGGGTTCTTGATCAATTCAAATTTTACGAAAAGAATATTGCACGCAAGTGAAGCCTCATTTTAAATTCAACGATGAATATTAATTTACGCATAATACTTATTTGTATTTCAACAAATGGCACACAAATTCAATGCAATAAAAATATCGTCGATTAAAAAGTATAAAAGACAAAAAAAAAAAAATACATGTATTTTTATTAAATCGTAATAAATTAAATCGATTTTAGAATAAATAGTTGCAATAACGAAAATAGCAATGAAATTATGAAGGAATATTCGTATATTGAAAATGAAGTAAAATAATTTTCTTGTCTTTTAATTTTTTTCGTTTCTGTTTTATCTTCTTTTGTTTTTGCCTTTGTTTTCGATTTCTTCCATTTACAATTGAAGTTTTAGCATTAACGTGACTCCGAGTTTACGCGAAAGAATAAGCACATTTACGATTTGCGGTAGGTTTTGAAAATGTACGAGCAACTGTGAATCTCGTGTAAATTGAACAAACCACTAACCGCGAATTCTTTAATTTTATTCGCTGATGATATGAGCCGCGGAATGTAAATCTCGACAGATACGTGCAATAAGCTATTTATAATTCTTTTTAATGAACTTATTATTTATAACTCATTTAAAAGTCGGATGCAAGCTTTTCTTTCCTGCCTTGTGTATTATTTTAAACAAATTTATACGATGAAAGGTTTTTCACTAAATAATTTAATGTGAATTCTTATTCTTATTCTCCTCTTCCTATTCAATAATAAATCATTAATTAAATTCTGTAATTTATCAGTACTTTTGCTAATTATTTTTATCTCACAATGTTTTCTAATGAGATTGCCCCTGTGTATTACTCATTAGGGCATATTTTTTTTTTTTTATTTTTTTTTTTTTTTTTTTTTTTTTTTTTTTTTTTTTTGTAATATAATGCTTTCTGTTAACTGCAAGGGGAATTATTTCAAAAATAAACGTTGCAGAAAATGTTGTAATTATCGTTTATAACTTCACTTTACTTATTGTACAATGAATTTTACGCGATTCAATTTGAATACGAAATAATAACTCAAGTGTAATTTTCCAAAAAATAAACAGATAAATTATCACAAGTCCATTAAAATAATTGCTTAAATATAAATATTTTCCTCTATTTAATTAGAAAATAATTATTATTTTATTAAAATTTTTTTTTTTTAATTTTTTACCTTTACAATAATTCTTTTAATAGAGATTGAACAAAAACAGGACATAGTGCTGGAGGTGAAAGAAGGTTTCTGTTTCCGTATATTTGTAATGAATTTGGATGTGTTATTTTAATGTGACTTTTTTACCTGTGAACTATTCACTGCATAACAAAATTAATTAGCGAGTATCTTTTTAACTTATTTAATATTTAATAACTTTCAGTCATACTTTTGAGCCTTCGATATCATTACTAATAAGTATTACTAATAAGTATAACAACGGCATTGAAAATAATGGGCTTAAAATTAATTGAATTAATTGAATGAAATTACTGAGAAAAAATTGTAAATGAATTTACTTTGAATTTATGCATGCGTGATTAACATTGTTATAGAATGAGTTTATCGTATTTTGAGATCTTTATTAACAAATTTGGCTATTTTCTAAAAGCGTGCATTTTACAAAATAGTTATTTGAAAGTTCTGTTCTTGTTTTATTTTTTTCTTCAATCGTATTATGAGAAAGTGCAGATTCTTTTGTGTAAAATAACTAGTAAATAATTTGCAGTTTGATATATTGATTCACTGCACGATGCATACAATTCCAACCGAATGTACAAAAAAAGCTAATTATTTACACGTTTATATTTACGTTAATATAACCTATGTACGGTTGTTAAATTTAGCGCCAAGAGAAGTCGGAGATTTCAAAAGACGCAGGATCGATATTAAATTTCAATGCTTATTTTAACAGGCCGATCCCACTTGTCTCGACAATTTCTCGCAATATGGTATTTTACGTAAATATAAAAGAGGACAAAGCCAAGTATTATTGCGCTGATCCACTGTAAATTTTCGAAACCTACCCCGCTTTGCCCTCGCCCGCCGCTACTCCACTCCAATCCCCCGACCCTCAATAAAGACATGAGAGGAGCGAGACTAGAATCGGCTTTTTTGTGTGAAAAGGTCGCGTGGTACGCGGCGGTGCCGCCGATAAATCGGGACTACTCCATGAGGGTGACGAAGTGCTCGAAGTGAACGGCGTGGAGATGCGGGGCAAGAGCGTAAACGACGTCTGCGACATACTGGCGGGGATGCAGGGAAGCCTGACCTTCCTCATTCTTCCCGCGCCGACGACGAATCGCAACAACAACGCCAACCGCAGGGAGGACGCTCAGCAGGTACGTACTCGCCTCCGATTAATCGAACAGTGATGACGGGTATAGGTCGGTCGTGCGCTGGATGTTGTGGGAGGTGGGGGAGGGGGGCGTACGCGCGCGCAAGGGCACGCTAATCCAGCCTGACCTCCGAATTAACTGGGCGGATAAAGAGTAGATTGGCACTCTGTTTACCCTCTCGTCCCAGGTATTACGCTTCTATCGAGAATTTCATGCTCGATAGATAGAGCCTTTGGCTACGTACTGCAATGGGGGGGGGGGGGGGGCAATAAGTAAAGGCACGCAGGAGTTTACGCGTAGTAATAATGCTGATTTATCGGTTATTGAAAATTTGGGCCCAGGCGATCCATTAACGAGAAACTATATCGTTTATCGGCAGATACACCACGTGAGGGCTCATTTCGATTACGATCCAGAGGAAGATCCGTACATTCCCTGCCGCGAGCTGGGCGTGGGCTTTCAAAAGGGCGACGTCCTTCACGTCATATCGCAGGAGGATCCCAACTGGTGGCAGGCTTATCGAGAGGGCGAAGAGGACCAAGCGCTTGCCGGCTTGATTCCAAGCAGAGCGTTTCAGCATCAGTAAGTATGCGAAAGTATTAATGGATGCTGCACAGCATTGATCCTCATTTCGATCAGCCACGATTTATTAAGTAAAGCGTAGTAAGCTCTTAATGCGATGTCTTGATCGTCGCCTACGGATGGGCGCAAATTGAACGAACTCGTCAATTTAACGGATTATCGTCACTGCTTCGCTTATTATTTGCTCGATATGTCTTTTAGGCGTGAGTCTGTTAAACAGACAATAGCTGGTGATAAATCGACGGTTCGAGGATCGAAGAAATCCAGTACTCTACTCTGTGCCAGGAAAAATCCAAAGAAAAAGAAGAGAAGCAAATTGGGCTCGAATTTCAACGACGATGGTTATCCTCTTTATGCCACCACCTCTATCGACGGTAATTCATTAATATTCTTAAATCTTTTTACTCTCCATTATCAATGGCTAAAAGTTCTAATGTGTGGAGTAGACGATCCAATGCGGCATGGGCATTTCTTTTTCACTCGTCGTTGGATCCTCGTCGTTTATTATCCATCAATTATTAAATAAGCTTATTAAACTCTCAATCGACGAATTATCCGACTTATTTAACAACATGAAATTATGTAATACTATCCACTTTAATGTGAATAGGAGATAATATTACTCTAACCAAGTCACAGCTTATCCCTCATTTATCACAATTTACAATTCTTGACAATTAATATTCTGCTATTAATAATCTTCACTAATTAATAATCATATGTCGAATTCCAGATTATGATAGCGAGGAGGTATTGACATACGAAGAAGTGGCCTTATACTATCCTAGAGCGAATCACAAGAGGCCCATTGTGCTTATTGGTCCACCCAATATCGGCAGGCACGAACTACGGCAGCGACTAATGCAAGATAGTGAAAAGTTTGCAGCGGCAATTCCTCGTAAGTTCGCCTATCGACATCCATTGCCTCGCATATGTGCATATTTCTTTAGTAACAAAATTGATTAATTATCGTTTACCTCCCTGCGCACTCATTACTTGGACACGCGCATTATTTCATATTAAGCACGAGTTACTGATATATTATTGTTCTTCTTCATAAGTAAACTTGCCGCGAACGGTACATAAGAGACACGCAATTTTGATAAAACTTTGTTTTGACTTTGGATTATTAATAGTCCAATATATGAAAATTGAAAATAGTTTCATTATTGACTAATGTAATGAATTGAATAAAAATCATAACAATAATTTATCAAAGATTTTTAGATAAAAACTGTGCAATGAAACTACAAAGTTAAATTGTTAGAAAAAAATAATGATAAAATTGATAATCGAATACATTATCCTTTCCAAGATTAATGACGCGCAGTTCCTCTTAGAACCGTAATTAGAGTCAAAAGGGCTCGTAATGTTGGCTTCGCACAATTATCGCTATCCTTATTATAAGATTCCCAAAGTTATCCGCGTTTAATGCATGAAGAGCAAAGAGATAACGATGGCGTAAGACTCAACCAACTGTTTTGCAGATACGAGTCGACCGCGGAAAGACACGGAGGTAGACGGCCAGGATTATCACTTCATTTCGCGGCAGCAGTTCGAGTCGGACATACTGTGCCGCAAGTTCGTGGAGCACGGCGAATACGAGAAGGCATATTACGGCACCTCCGTCGAGGCCATCCGTACGGTCGTCAACTCGGGCAAGATTTGCGTGCTAAACCTTCACCCGCAGTCGCTCAAGATCCTGCGCAACTCTGACCTCAAGCCGTACGTGGTGTTCGTGGCGCCGCCGAGCCTCGAAAAGCTCAAGCAAAAGCGCGTTAAGAACAACGAGGCGTATAAGGAGGAGGAGCTGAAGGATATAATCGAGAAGGCGAGGGAGATGGAGGACAAGTACGGTCACCTGTTCGACATGATAATAATAAACAACGACACTGACCGGGCCTACAATCAGCTCCTCACCGAGATCAATTCGCTCGAGAGGGAGCCCCAGTGGGTGCCCGCCTCCTGGGTCCAATAACAGAGGCCCATCGAGCTCGAGAGGCTTAACACGCTCTACGGCATCGACAGTATCGAGAGCGACGCCTCTTAGGCTGCTTTACCTTTACGAAATTGCGTGCTCGACGTCCGCGATGCAACGGAGAAGTCGAGCCCTCTCGGGCGCTGACTAGATGACTAGCAGCATTCCTCATTCGTTGACTTTACGAGAGACAGGAGGGAAACTCGATATCGAGATAGATCTGCTTTTACAATTGTTATTAAGAAGCCCGCCCCGTTAGCAGTTACGTGTTTTTGTAATGTCAAGAATGTGAATTTTGGCTTTTCGAAAGGGAAGAAGAAGTGTAGCGATCGGTAGATGCTGAAATGTACACGAATTTCAATGTAAAAGACGTTAGTTACAATCTATAAAATTATATAAAGTGGTATAACGAAATTCGTTCTTACGTAGTATTATCGTAAATTGTAAGAAATAATTTATTTTAAGTCACTTTTCTTTTTTTTTTTTTTTAATTGTTCCAGCTCTTCTTCTTCTTCTTCCTCTTCTTCTTCTTCTTCTTCTCTTCTTCCTTATCTTTTGATAAAAATAAAAATATCTTAAATCAATACTACCTTCATCTATTACGTTCAAAGCCATGGTCTTCGACAGATCAATTTGCTCAGCGATTGACATGAATTTCTTAAAATTACTACTCTATGGTAATGCCATCGCCAGAGTTGGAACTTCCAAGTGGCATGTAATAGACGATTAGATGATAATAATCGAGCGTTGCCCGTGTGTCGCATGCATGTTGCGCCGTCAGCACCTCGGATACCACACGTGTAAATGAAACTTGTACCAAGCATCGCTTTTGCGCACTGCCTTTCCGGAATATAATCGAATGAATAAGATAGCGAGAGCCAAATGCGCAGAGTTTACGTTTATGAATGTTTCGGAAAAAGTAAAGGTGACGAGGTAAAGAAAAAGTACAGGGAATGCGAGCGATCAGACGACGTCATGTGTTTGAGTTATTGGTCGTTATTTGTTCGCTTTTGTATTCCTTTGAAAGATACAAGACTCGGCGCGACGGTGGAAACGGTGAGGGAAAGGGTTGATAAGAGAGACAGACCGACTCGAATCGCTTTGTAACGTGAAAATCCGCGATAAAAAAAAAATTATGTATAATTTGAAATTATATAAAAGTTATGCATATAAATATGTGTTTAAAGATTCTAATGGACAGTGAAAACTAAACGCTGAAAGTATAGCTTCTATAATTGTTAAATAATTTTTTATTTATCATAATGAAGCTCTTTTACATAGAATATCCTTACGCATCTATTTTAGCCCAGAGGAAGTTTGAAATATATTCAATGTACAAGACTTTCATTAAATTTAAAATTATGTAATAGTTATTAAATACAATAATTAAATAAAATTGTAGAGTGTGTATTTTAATTATTTAGTTTTATTTTTCAGGTCTGAATCATTGTAAATATGAGGATTTTATTAATTATAAAAACAGCTGCTAAACTGTTACATAATTACGTATACATGAAATATATTACTGACTATATGTAGTTAATATGTGCTATTAATTCATGTTGAAATTCAAGGAATTTCTATGATCCTATAAATTGTACTTTAGTTGAACTTTAAATAATCGAGTATTAACGTACGAGAGTGTATCTATGATAAAAGAAATTATTCATAATGCATAATTATATAGAATAAATTATATATGAATTTTTTTTCTCTTGTGACTTTTCACGCGCGATTCCATTCTTAATAACAACAATGAAGGATGAACTAGTACACTCAGAGGCTACTTCCTCAGATGTAACATAATTATAAAACATAAAAAATTAATTCATAAAGCAAACAAAAGTTAATAAACTTGTAATATTCTAAATTGAAAGTTTTAATTGTCGATATAATTGCAATTTGCGATTTTCAAAGTGAAGTTTACGATGTCATTGTTAAAGTTTATAAATAATGAAATACAAATATACAAATATATGATACCGAATGTTACATGATTTAAAGAGTGTAATAAAAAAAAAATAATAAAGAAAAAAATAATAATAATACACATAAAAAAAAAATTAAATAATAATTAATCGTTCGGGTGATTGTCGAATATTTAAGTTAGGATTTGTTATTCATTCTCATATAATCACACGTAAATTCATACAGAAATATACAATTTTTATAAATTTTACCGATGGAATCTTAAATTTAAAGAGAAACATTTTCAGCAACAACATTTACAACGCATACTATGAAAACTGAAAAATCATAGATTAAAACTAGCAACTAACAAATTCACCGTTCACGTAGACTAACTTCTGATAGCTTAGAGGCAGGTACACTCGTGTTTCCAACAAATAAAATATAAAATTACAATAAACTTAGACTCGTTAATGCAATAGTCGTAACTCGAGGTATGCAGTCGAGACTATGTTTATCAATCTAACTGTGTAAAAAAAAAAAAAGAAAAAAAATTATAACCCCGGCCGATCATATGAATAAAAACTATGCATTGCTTTTTCTTTCCAGCGCGTACGATAATATGAGAAGAAAATTGTATTTCACAGCGTACAAGTACTCGTTTCTTCGAGCGGTGCGAAGATACTTTCATCATTGTTGATTATTCACCGATGATACGTCCATGTCGTCCATCGTTTTTAAGAACTATTATATTTCTTATTTTAAACGAATGAAGTGATTGAATATAATACGTACTCACACAGAATGTGGTTCAGTTTTGAAAGTAATTTTATATTTTAATCGATGATCGAATTCTGCATTGTAAAATGAAAAATTCAACACGCGCTTCGGAAGTGATTTTATATATATTGTTAAATGAGGTATTAAACGACGCCGCTTACTATTACAAAATAATAATAATCCGAAAGAATCTTGTGAAAGTATGGACTCGATAGTATCGATCGAATGGATGGATCGGCATTTCATTCAATTCCTTAACAGAATGCCTAAAGCTCTACTTCCCGACTGCTCATTAAAAACACAATAAGCTCACGTAAAGTCCTTTAGCATCGGGCTAATAAAACAACTTGTTCTCGAGTAATTAAATCGATATTCGATCCCTCGGATTTTTAACAATTCTCCAAAATATATTGCTAATTTTAATTTGACATTTAGACGATTATAATCCTCCTAAATTATACATGCGCCTGCTTCTATGAGTGAGAAAGCGTCCATAGGAGCCCGCTGGTTGTGCCCTGACCCGATGATAATACATCGTTTACATTGCGGAATTCGATTATTCGCTAGTGAAACGATCGATTTTTGCAATTAAATTTTTACACACGCTTGGAACTTAACTGTGTATAGTGAAATAAGGCTCTGTTAGATCACAGCTAATAGTCCTAGGGTTAAATTAACAGGCAAGCTCGAGCTGGAAGTTGAAATAATGAAAACATAAAGAGAACTCGTTGTGCCAATAAAATATACCGTCGTGTAATTCAGGAAAACGTCTGAGAATTATAAACAATATATATATATATATATATATATATATATATACGCGCGAGCGCGCGTGTGTGCGTAAATATGTGTGCGTGCGTGCGTGCGTGCGTGCGTGCATGCATGTACGTATGTATGTGTGTATGTATATGCAAATGTGCCAAACGGAGGGACTTTGACCGTTAAAAATGCGCTCGAAGGACACCGTGAAATGTAGGACACGTCATTACTGTTTATGTAAATATCTGTGCAATTGTATAGAAAAGAGAAATGCAAAGTTATTATATCTTAGAATTAATTTCATGAAGAAAATTCGAGTCGAGCGAACTCTTTAAGAAATTCCCAGTCGGTTCCCTGCGCTAAACAAAATTTTTTTTTTCTAAATATATTAATTGGAAAATACGAGTCGAGCAAAAATTACTCGTACATACTCACAAATATACTTACATAAGCATTCTTACGAAATAACACAGGTGCACACGCACACGCACACGCACGCACGCACGCGCGCGCGCACACACACACACACACACACACACACATTAAATATATATAATTTTGTAATAACTGTTAAGTAAATAAGTGATTTATACAAATAATATCTATCACTTTTGGATTGTTTATTGAAGAGAAAGTTTCTACATAATAATACATTTTTATAAGATGACGATTTAAAATGATATATAAGCTTAGAACGTGAAAATAATTGTTCTCATAATTGTTTTAAAAATTCTATATATGCTAATATACAATATATTAAGATTTAATTGAAACAAGATAATTCGGTGACATTGCACTGAATTATCGTTCCCTCGATTCACTCATATTCGTAGTGAATTGGAGCTAACGGAGTGATCAAAGAGTTCGCTCAGACTCAATCTAGTTTCATTATATATAAACTTTACATATTATGATTGTGATTACCATCACCATTTATTAATTAGGATTGTATTCCTAAGGGATTAAAATGTGTACATTAACTATTATTGATAATGATTTTTCGTGTAATATAAGCGTGCAACGTTAATGAAAATAAAACAAAATAAAAAGATATATGAGAGATTTGTATATATAACATATACATATATTATGCGCACATACAAAGTAAAGTCTTTATCGATGCGTTAATAATAAAACAAGAAATAATAGAGACGACGATTTGTTTTTGATTGTCTGAATTGAAACTCGTCGACGTCCAAAAAATTTTATTAATTTTGCCAGCAGCGCTTGGACAAAGACTTCGACACACGCATGGCAAATGGAATCGAAAAATAAACGATCATTATATGTGTATTAGGTATTTATAAATTATTATTTATACGTTTACGAATCAATCAAAATATAAAAAATTTATTTTAAACAATAGTGTATATATATATATATATATATATATATATATATAGAGAGAGAGAGAGAGAGAGAGAGAGAGAGAGGGAGTGAGAGGGAGTGAGAGAGAGAGAGAGAGAATTCTTGGAAATTGGAGAGAAAGAGAAGTTAGTACTTGCAAGAAATTTATAACCCATTGGTATCCGATGCTCCATACTTATGTTAATTGCTCTTGAAATTTCATTTTTAAGAACGAGGCAAGATAAGTAAAATGCTTAATTATTTTCCGAATTCAGTGTCGCCCGTTCTTGTATGACACCTATAAATATAAATACGAATAGAAAAGGACGCGAGATCGATTAATATATAATTAGCAATAATGGCGATTCGACTGTATGGAAAATAAAGTGATGGGAATAAATAATAAATGAGGCGTTCTAAGTTTCGAAGGAGGACACGAACGGATGACGTTGACAACTGCCAAGTGCACGATACCCGGCTTTCCATAAGTCTTGGGCCATTAATAGTACTAACCGATGTAACACGTGAAATGGGAATGTAGCGAGCGTTCGATACCATAAGATGCCCATCCGTGCCCACATGGATCGTCGAATGGAAAATGGGAAGGAGTAAAGCGAAGGAGACGTTAGTTTCCGATCGGTAAGGAGTCCA